GAAGATTCCTAGGCTGGCACGGGGGCCCCAGCGCCCTGTGTCTACCCTCCAGGAGAGAAACCGAGGCTGGGAGGGCTGAGGAAATGATCTCCCTGGCCCGTGGGCATGGCTGGGGCCCAGAGCCAAGTTCTGGGGCAGTTTTGTCTGGCTCAAAGCTGGAAAGACTCTGACAAGGTGGGCAGGAGGTGCTCAAGGGTCGGGCCACCATACCCCACAGCTCCAGAGGCACCATCTGCTCCTTGGGCTGTGAGGGTGGCTCTGCTGGAGCCATAGTCCTGCAGGGGGACAGGGATTTCGTGGGTCGGCTTGAGGGATCTTAGCCTTCACCGCCCTCCTGACTTCCCTCCCTGTTCATCCTTACGTGGGGCAGGAAAACCAACGGGCATCCTTATTTATTTATTTATTTATTTATTTATTTTTGAGACAGAGTCTCACTCTGTCACCCAGGCTGGAGTGCAGTGGTGCAATCTCGGCTCACTGCAACCTCCGCCTCCCGGGCTCAAGCAGTTCTCCTGCCTCAGCCTCCCGGGTAGCTGGGATTACAAGTGCCCATCACCACGCCCAGCTAATTGTTTGTATTTTTAGTAGAGACCGGGTTTCAACATGTTGGCCAGGCTGGTCTCGAACTCCTGATCTCAGGTGATCCATCCACCTCGGCCTCCCAAAGTGTTGGGATTACAGGCGTGAGCCACCACGCTTGGCCCCAAGGGGCATCCTTAAATTCAGGTGCCTGTTCCTTCTACCTCCCTCCTGCTGTGAGCCAGGCCCGGGGTACTCATGGAGGGGGGCAACAGGACCCACCCAGGCTCCACCCTCAGGAAGCTCATGGTTCACAGGGAGGCTCCTGTGTCCCAGCACCAAGCTGGGCGGACTTCTGACTCCTGCCCAAACCCTGCAGCTCCAAACCACCCCCAATCCTGGGTGAAGGCTGCCCAGGAGAGCAAGCTAAGGAGGAGGGTGGCAGGACCAGAGGCTGGGGTCGAGCACTGACACCCAGAAGCCACCCTCACCCATGTGTCCTGTGTCTCATGTCACCCCCAGCACAGTGCCACCCTACAGCCCTGGGAGCTCAGGCCCCGCAACCCCGGGGGTCAACATGGCCAACAGCATCGCCAGCCTCCGTCTCAAGGCCAAGGAGTTCAGCCTGCACCACAGCCAGGTGCCTACGGTGAACTGACGTCCAGTCCCACCAGCACCCAGCCACCTCCCTGGGTGGACAGCAACAGAAAAGGGGGCAGATGCCCAGGAAGTGACCTTCTCCTGGATGGGCTCTCCTGGCCCGTCTCTCCAGCCTGGACTCCCGAGCCCGCAAGGCTGTTGAGGCCCCCGCAGCCGGGCCCAGCTCTTCTGTCCTCGGCCGCCAGAGACTGCAGCCCACAACCCTTGGAGGGGTTGGGCCGGAAGGTGGAAGAGCCTGCCAAGGACCTCATTTAGTTTGTGTATTAAAACCAAAAAGCTTTTGTCTTTAAGAAATAAAACCATTTTTTAAGCCCCAAAAGGTTGCAGGAAGGTGGGTAAGGGCTGCAAACAATGTTGGTGACTGAGATGAGAGCTGGGACCCCACAGGGCTGGATGGCCTTCCCGGGCCCCCAGCAGCAGGCATGGGGACTGCCCTGGCCTGGCTGAGACCAGCAGCCATGGGAGGCCCACCGCCCTCATATCTGTACTGTTCCTGGAAACAAAGTCCTCGGTCACCCTGCAGAGCCCCCAGAAGTGGGGGCTGGGGGATGGGGGTTGGGAGAGGAGGACAGAAACCCACCTTAGACCCCATCTCCCACCTTGAGCCCCAAGGGGACACCCAGATGTTTGGGCAGAGCCTTGCTATGTGACCCTGGGCAGGGAGCATCTCCCCATCCTATTGCGGGGCAGGATCGGTGATCATGGATTCCTAGACTGGCCAGACGGTATGTGGGAAACATGCAACGACATTCAGTCCCTTGCTTCTGGGCGTACAGAAGGCGTGGGATCTCTCTGATCATTTGACCACGGAGGGGCTGGGGAAATGGCCCAGAAAACTGAGGTGCAGACTGCAGGTCCCCGCCAGGCTCCCAGGACAGTGGTGTACTCCATGACAGTTGAGGCCAGCAGAAGATCCAAGTCCCTCAACCCACCCATTTGCAGCCAGTAACTGGGGGTGCCGCCAGCCAATGACACCTCTTACGAGGGGTCTGCAGAAAACAGGGTGAGGGAAGGTCTGAAGCCAGCTCCTCTACCTGTCCCCACATCCACCAGGGAAGTCAGGAGAGCCTTTCCGCTCAGAGTCACCCCAGTCCAGCCCCCAGGAGGCAGGACAACACTCCCCCATCCCTGAGGGCACAAAGACGGTCAGCCCTGGGCAGCGGTGGGTGAGAACCCTGGCCCTTGGGGTGGGGGGGTGGCAGGTGGCACAGCAAGGAATCTCGATGAAGTCAGTGAGCTGGGCTGATTCTCCCATACCCCACCCTGCCCACGCAGCTTCGCCGTGCCCCTAAAGCACCAGCCATGGGGCTCCACACATGAGTAGCCCGCACGGGGACACCTTTATTTATTTATTTATCTATTTTCTTTTTTTGAGACAGAGTGTTGCTCTGTTGCCCAGGCGCGAAGTCAGCTCACTGCAACCTCCACCTCCAGGGGTTCAAGCGATTCTTCTGCCTCAGCCTCCCAAGTAGCTGGGATTACAGGCATCAGCCACTACACCCAGCTAATTTTTTGTATTTTTATTAGAGATAGGGTTTCACCATGTTGGCCAGGCTGGTTTCGATCTCCTGACCTCAGGTGATCCTGATCCACCCACCTCAGCCTCCCAAAGTGCTGGGATTACAGGTGTGAGCCACCATGCCTGGCCCCCACTTTAGTTAGAAGGTGCAGCAGCTACACTTGTGAGTAAAGTGAGGACCGCCTCCCACCTGCCCCCAGTACAGCCCTGAATACTCTTCCCCGTACTCCATCCGGATTTCCACCACAGGACCTGGCCCCTTCAGATGTGCAAACACACCTGGGGAAGAGTGACTGCCCGGTCGCTGTGTGACTTCTCTTCTCCTTTGGTGGCTGGACGGCTTCCTCCCTGGCCGCATCAGGGACTCTGACCAGCAGGAGAGCCTGGGGCACCAGTGGGGGCTGGGGTGGAGGGGAGGGGGATTCTACTGAGGTCTTCAGCTGCTCAGGCCCACCTGACTGTGAGGGCCAGGCCTGTGACCTGGACTCGGGGAGGATGGGGAGTCAGATTTGTGTTTTCTGACTCAGTTTGGCCTCTGCCTCGGGTAAGTGCTTTCTGGACTACCATTTGCCATTCTTGCACTGAAAAAATATTATGAAACACAAGGTTCCTGGCCAGAGAGGCTGCATCATGCTACGAGTAAGCAAAGGCAAAGGAATAATTACAGCACCACTAAGGCTATGAGGGGGTGCTGCAGGGGCCCAGGGAGGACAGAAAGGGGGCCTCAAACCTTGCTGAAGACATCTGGGCAGGCTTCCTGGAGGAGGTGTGCCTGGGAGGATGAAGAGTTCAACAGACAGAGGGGGCGGGGCAACAGTGTTTCTGGCTGAGGGGACTGTGTGAGTGTAGCCCTGGGGCAGGCCAGAAACTGTCTCTTTGGGCAAGTGATAGCTGTTCCCGGGCTGGATCTCCTGGTGCCAGGCGAAGGTGGAAAGGAACAGGGGAACAGGAGCTGGCTCAAACGAGGTCTGTGTGGCCGGGACTAGATGTTTGGATGTCACCCTGTCTGTGGGGAGCCATGGAGGGGATTTGCTTGGTGGAGGACCGTGCCCTGAGCCTCCATGTGGAAGAGTGACTGTGGGCTGAGAGTGAAGGAGAGAGCCCCTTGCGGAGGCCAGGGCGGGTGTCCAGGTGGGAGAGGCTGTGGCCTGAGCCAGATGGGGACAGAGCTGGTAAACCTGGGAGATGTTTCAGATGCAGCAAAAACAAAAACAAAAAAACAGGAACTGGTGACTTGGTGATGGGCTGGGGAGACTGGGAGCCTTCAAAGCCAGTTTGGGGACCGGGCATGTTGGCTCACATCTGTAATCCCAGCACTTTGGGAGGCCGAGGCGGGCAGATCACTTGAGATCAGAAGTTCGAGACCAGCCTGGCCAACAGGATGAAACCCCGTCTCTACTAAAAACACAAAAAAGCGGGGCATGGTGGGGCACACCTGTAATCCCAGCTACTTGAGAGGCTGAGGCAGGAGAATCACTTGAACCCGGGAGGCGAAAGTTGCAGTGAGCCAAGATCAGGCCACTGCACTCCAGCCTGATAGAGTGAGACTTTGTCTTAAAAAAAAAAAAAAAAAAAAAGCCGGTTTGGGCTTAGAAACACAGGAGTGCCCAAGAGGAGCAGACCCTGGCCATGGGACCTGCCTGGTGGAAGCCTCTGGAAGATGCAGGCCTGTCTTCCCACCCAGACAACAGCTGGGGTCCAACCTGGCTTGAGTGTCCTCCTAGGCACAAAGCTTGCTCCCTTTCCCCATCTGGGGGATTTGTACCTGCAATTAGTCCAGAGCATGGGGGCCCAGAGCAGAGCACTCATGGGCAGCCAGGAAGAGCAGGCTGTTTCCCCCAAGAAGCACTAACCTGGGAGCTCATGAGTGGACAGCACCACCCCCAACCCAGGCCCCTGGCCAGTGCTCCAGGCCTGGTGCAGGCATCTCATGCCTTTCTACTTTTCAACCCAGAGGGAGGGCACCCTGAAGAAACGCCAGGCTGAGGCTACCTGTGCAGCGATGAGGTCACACCAGGTGGGAGGCCCGTCCCAGGAAGGCTGGCTTCAGAAAAAGCCGGGGCCCTTCCCATGGAGGCGCTGGCCCTGCCGTTGGACCATGAGGATGTCAATGTCACTTCCTCCGAGCGCTCTTGAGAAAACAAACCGGCTTAATCGTTTACACATGCTGCTCCGGGAAGCTGAGGGAGGGGTCGAGGTGGCCCTCCCTATAAAAGAGAAAATATTCAAACACTGCTGTCGCTATTGTAGCCCTAATTGCAGGGCTGTGTGGGCAGCTTCCTGGGCACCCGTCCCAGAATATCATTTTTCCATGAGGACAAGGTACCCAAGGCCCTGCCCCGGGCTGGAGAACTTGCTGCCTTTGCCCATTTGGCTAAGTGAGCTTGAGCTTGGGAGAGGGTATTGCGTGTGTCTGCTTTTATTTTTTTATATGAAATAAAAGAACTTGAGAGAGAAAGGGAGGGGGAAGGAGAGAGAGAGATTGAAGGAAAGACAGTCAGCTCTTGCAAAAACCCAAACCAGAGAAATAAAGACTAGCGTTTCTGGTCCTGTGACCCTGGACAAGGCACTTCTCTGGGCCTTGGTTTCCTTGTCTGTAAAATGGGGATAATTACAGAACCCACTGCACAGGGCTGTCGGCACAGAGCTTCCCCCCATAAATGGGCGCCTCAGTGTTTACGGTGGAGGAGCACAGGGTGAGGGATGGAGTTTGAGGAAATGTATGTACTCCCCTTCCTGGGGTGAAATGGCACTTTCTCTGTCCAGAGAAGCGGTACACCCGGTCCAGAGGCTCTTCCCTCGTTCCTTTGATGCCCACCCGCCTTAGGGGCCCCAGTTGGGGACCAAAATCAACATGGTACCTCCGGCTCCTGCACCTCTGCTTCTCGCCCCTGGAGGGCGCCGTGGGGGCCGCTGCAGGGCCCTGGGCTGGGTTCCCGCGATGTGGTGGAACACACCCCGTCCTCTCTGCTCTCCTGGAAGATCTCCAGGGCTGGCAGCGGGCTGCTGACCCAGCCTCCTCTGGAAGGACAAAGAAACAAGCAAATCCCAAACCACCAGCAGGGGTTCCAGCGTAAAGATCAGCATAAGCGTTAGGGAACAGGAACCAAGAGCGGTGAAGCCTTTCGCATGCTTTCACCCAGCAAACCCATCTCTAAGCTCTACTTTGAAAAATAATCAAAATCTCAAAATCGGGGGGCGGGAGAAGGAATGTGCACATCAATGTCTATCACATATTTTATATGTGCGATGTAAAAAACCTGGAAAGACACAAGCCAAAATGTGAATAGCTTAATTTTTTTTTTTTTT